GTAGTTGTATGAGTTTGTGTGTAGATATACTTAAAATTTTTTTTTTTAGGCTGGGAGTATAGCTTAGTGGTAGAGCACTTTTTCAGCATACACAAGACCCTGGATTCCGTCCCCAGAGCCACCCCCCCACAACACCCCCCTGCCAAAAATAATTCAAGTTTAGTGAGATATAATTTACATTCAACAAAACTCGTCAATTTTAAGTGTAAGTTGAATTAGTTTCAATTCATTTCACACACACACACACAGAGCTTTTGGTCCCAGGGATTGACCCAAAGTTTGCTCAGTCCTTTTTATTTTTTTATTTTATTTTGTGACAAGGTCTCCCTAAATTGCTGAAACTGTCCTCCTCCCACTTGCCATCTTCCTGCCTTAGCTTCCTGAGTAGCTGGGATCACATGTATGTACCACTGTAGCTGGCCATTTTTTTATACTTTTAATCACTCTAAATTTTTTGGAAATTTTTTCTTAGGGATTCAGAGATCTAAAGAAAATCGAATGCCTGCCATTTTTTCTTTTCTTTATGATCTACAGTTGTGTTTGTGTGTGTGTGTGTGTCTGTATGTGGGGGGGAGGGTATTTTAATATCAGCTTCCTTAGAGTCCCCATGGGCCCATTTAGTTATATGTAGTTTGAATGAATTAATGAAAGAAAGAAGTGACAGTCTACCAATCTCTGCCTTTAGAGCCACCAGCAATAAATGCCCACAGGCTGCATCTGTTGCCCCAGAAGTTGCCATGAAGCCGCCGATGGTTGGGATGGAGATGAGGATTTCTCAGCTGGTCCCTTGCATAGACATATATGGAGTTTTAACAATCTGCTTTCTCATTTGTGATTCCTTCATAAAGAGACCCCCATTTTAAGAGAATTACAGCATCCTGCAACGATCCATTCTTTGGGCCTGGCTCCTGTGCCCCATGTTTCCTCAGCCTTCTGCTGGGGTGTCCCAGCTGTCACTTGGTTACCTCTAGCAGCAAAAGCAGGATACTGACCCAGATTGTACCTGAGCTAGGGAATCAGGAGGGCTTGGAGGTTAGGTGAGAGGCCTGGGTGGTAGGAGATTACACTTCCCAGCTTAGCCCTGCAGGCCCACTCCCTAAGCCACCCTGAGCCTTGGCATTTCCTTCTGAAACATGAGGCGCAGTCGGAGGAGCCTTATACACAACACTTAATATGTGTCCGACTCAGAAGGACACAGTTTAGATATGTGGCCGTCTGGCTTTTCCCCCAAAACAATGTTTTCATAAGAATTTATAAAGGTTGGGCTAGGTGTATGGTTCAGAAGCAGAACATGAACCTGGGCTTAGTTTCCAGCATCAGGAAAAAAAAAAAAAAGTATTCAGGTCATATGTCGACATGATTGTTGTTAAGATGGTGACCTTTTTTTTTAAGTTGTCAATGGACTTTTATTTTATTTATTTACTTATATGTGGCTCTGAGAATTGAATCCAGTGCCTCAAAGATGCTAGGCAAGTGCTCTACCACTGAGCTACAACCCTAGCCCAAGATATTTTTTTCTTTTTAAAAAAAATTTTTTTTTAGTTGTTGATGGGCCTTTATTTTATTTATTTATATGTGGTGCTGAGAATCGAACCTAGTACCTCACACGTGCCAAGCAAGCGCTCTTCCACTGAGCTATAATCCCAGCCCCATGATGGTGACTTTTGAAAAGATGTTAGAGAAAAGCAAGAGCAGAGGGAAAGGGAGCCACAGGGTCAGGGGGAGGAGGATCCTATTAAAGGATGTTTACTCTGCAGTCAGCCCTACCACCACTTAGGCCACTGCCCAACCAGTAGCCTCCTCTGCCCCGGCTAGCCCTTCTTTAACATCTTCACTATTATCCTCATTTACAAATGAGGAAATTGAAGCTTCAGAGGTAAAGTGACTTGCTCCAGATTATCAGCTAAGAAATGTCTGGACCAAGATTCAGACTCCGATTTCCCTAATCTTAATACATGTGACTTTAAGGACACTACCTCCCTCCAAGACCTCAGCCTTCAATCTTCCTCTAAATTAGTCAGTAGACATAATGGGGGCGGGGATTCAACTGTTTCTACCCTCCCTCCTCTTTCCTTAGCCTGAGAGTCTGAAGCTGAAGGAAGAATCTTATGTTTTCTGAGCCTAGGGAGAATGCGATGCTTGAAGGTTCAGATAACCAATATTAAATTGACTATTATATGCCAGGCCCAAGGGGAATGTAAGGGTATCCCACAGAGCTGCAGGGATGCAAAACAAGCATCTACAGTGATATCAGAAAACTTCCAAGTTTTTTGCCAAGCATGATTGTGCATGCCTATAATCCCAGCAACTCAGGAGACTGAGGCAGGAAGATTGCGAGTTTGAGGTCAGCCTGGGCAACTTAATTAGAACTTGTCTCAAAAAAAAAAAAAAAAAAATGGATTGGAGATATTACTCATTGGTAGAAATGTCCCTGGGTTAAATCCCCACTACCAAAAACAAACAAACAAACAAACAAAAAAAGAAACAACCAAACATTTGCCAAGTTTTTAACACTGTTGTGGTGAAAAATAAAGATGGCTAGGGGTCAGCTGAGTCATAAAAGGGCTGTAGCTTGCTCTGGGCATTAAAAGCGGGGCAGGGTTTGCAAGCAAAGCAAAGCAACTGCATCTCTGGGGAAAGCGTTAAAATCAGAAGAGTCTGCAATTAAGGAAGTAGGCAGACCATGCTAACCTGTACCAAAATAAGACAAGTGGTGGAAGGTAAGCCTGGGTAGGAAGTACAGGGCCAACTACCAAAGGTTTGAAAGGCAGACAGTGAAATCTGGTGGAAGCTATTACAAGTTCTAGAGCAGTAACATGATGAAATGGAAATAGGAATATAAAAGGGAATTGTATACAATGGGAGTTAGTCAATACAAATTTTACAGTTCAAATAGAACAATTTCTGAAAGCATTTTCCTAAGTTGGATTTTCTGTGTAAGGTGTGTGTGGCACTAGGGATTGAACTCAGGGGCCCTCTACCATTGAGCTACATCCCTAGTCTTTTTTTTTTAAGAGAGAGAGAGAGAGAATTTTAATATTTATTTTTTTAATTTTTTCTGTGGATGCAACATCTTTGTTTGTATGTGGTGCTGAGGATCGAACCCGGGCCGCAGGCATGCCAGATGAGTGCGCTACTGCTTGAGCCACATCCCCAGCCCCATCCCTAGCCTTTTTTATTTTTTGTTTTGAGACAAGGTCTCACTAAGATGACCAGGCTGGCTTTGAACTCATGATCTTCCTGCCTTCAGTTGCTGGGATTGCTGGTGTGCTCTACCAGGCCCAGCTATGTGGTGCAAGTCTATAAATTTTATTTACTTTCAGGTGAAGTAACAAAGGAGCCTGCCTCATCTTCTCTTAGGAAGCCCAACACCTGGGGCAAAACTCCCTGCCACTTTGTAGGAGACCTAGGCCTAATTGGTTTAGGCTTCAGCAAGCTTCTTCCCTTTGCTGTGAAACCTAAGCTTCATGGCTCTCTCTCTGCACCCTTCTGTCCTGCTTGGGAAACTTTCAGGCCTTGTGAGAACAAGGAAAGCCGATCTGGCTCCAGGAGAGCATCCTAGTTGAGCTCTCTGGGGGAACTCATGCTTCACCCCTGTCTCAGTCTGAATGTCTCCAAAAAGGAGCAGAGTGTGCTCAGCTGCCTCCATGGTTTGGAAAGGGATCGTGGAGCCTTCCAGCTCCTGCCTCCAAACACCAGCAAGACTCTTAGGAGACAATAGGCCATGATCTTCCTTGCTCCTCTTTTGAAACTAGGAAAGCAGGTACCTCTCAGACACCACCCAAGTGCTCCACCTGTTTCATTTTTAGCCCTGAACCCAACAAGTTAAATGGCCAAGGTCAGCCCGTGTCCAAGAAGATGGCTATTCAAGGACTTGGGCCTCTACTAATCTGTAAAATACTATAACCCCCTGCCCTTCCCTCCACAGGGTGGCTATTAGGAGAGTGAACTAAGCATGCTGGTGTAAGGCCTTCCTAAAACTATATGCTCTGTGCACCTTCTGTGTAGTCATCACCATCCATTTGCAAATCTACTTCTAACCCAAGTTCATTCATTTTGGGGAAAAACTCTTGCAGTTTTTACCAAAGAGGTGTGAGTCTTCTAAGCCATTCCAAAGTTCAGGAGAATCCCTGTTGAAAACCTGTGTTCCTGGGGCCCCACTCTCCCCTCAGGTCAAGGGATCTGCATTACCCAGGGCCCAGAGCAATCTGACTCCACAATCAAGTGGTAGAACCACTGTTTTATAGTCTTGGGCAAACAGGGCCTGTCTGGGACCAGGAAGAGAAACAAGGCGATAATAACTCTCCAGGGGCCAGTTGGTGTGGGAGGGAGGGAGAAGTGGGAAGGGCTGTAGCCTTCAGCTGGCTCAACCTCAACTTCTCTGATAAGGAAATAGGGGCCCAGAGAGTGCAGGAGTCAGTCACCAAGGGCATTGTCTTACAGTTGTGTGTTGGTGGTTCCACACCTGTCTGGGCCACACCTCCTCCCAGAGGCCACTCAGTCCCTCTGAGCCCAGAGTTCCTTGTCTAGTGCAAGACTTGAGCTAAGCAGTCCTTTTCAAACTCCTCCTTTGACCTTTTCCTGTCTAGATATTAAATTTGTAATTTTAATTTCTGCAGACCAAATAGAACTGTGACTTTTCTCACAGGAAGAAAACATCTCTTCTTTGGGACTTTAGGCTCAGGAGGCCTTTGTGCCTGGACCTTCTAACCCAGGCAGTCAGGCGAACTCTCCCTGCTGAGACTGGCTCCCAGGGAGGTCTGACTCACCCCTTACCTCAGGGTGATTTCCAGCACGTTCTCCTGGTAGCTTTCAGCCAGCACAGAGCCGAGGGAGCCAGGGTTCCTGGCACAGATAGCACAGTCCATATACTTGTTACCAGGCTGGCAGGCAGCCCTGGAAAGGACTGGAAGTAGACCCCAGAGTCTGATGAAACCTAATTTTTATCAGAATCCATCCCCCTCCATCCCATTTTGGGACACTGATGAGATTCAACCAACTGTTTTAACAAACATGTTTATTAGAAAAGTAAAAAATATTGCATAGGTCTTAATACTTGAACATCAAGTGTATTCATGAACAGTGAGTATCTTCATGTAAACAGTTCTAGATGGAAGACCCAGATGGCACTCCTCTGGGGGAGGGGGTTCCAGCCCCCAGCTCCACTCAGCCCCATCCCCTCACAGTTCAACTCTCCAGAAATGGGGTGGGGATGGGGTGGACGCAGCTCCCAGGTGTATTTTTTTCTTCAAGTGTCAAAGATCTCAAGTGATCCCAACACCTGCTTTTCCTACTCTTACATTCATGCGTCTGTAAGATAGCTGCCTAGAACAGGTCAGTAGTGAAGCTCCAATCCGAGAAACAAAAAGATAAAAAAAAAAAAATACAACAAACACACTTGGTCCCTTCAGACCATGATACAAACCACCTCCATGAACTCCCCCCTCCCTCCTGTCCACTACCATGAACACACAACCCTCAGAGGCCAGAGCAGCCCAGCTGCCCTCCTGCCTCTGTCACACCACTGTTGTTTTAACTGTCAGTAATAATAAAAATAACAAGGTACATGCTACATACACATCCAGCCAGAAGCCTGATTGGCCCCTAAGCCTTTGTTTCATGCTACAGTACTGAGGGGCATTTGCCCCACTGGGGAGCCACCTGTGCAAGACCCCATGAGCTTCCCAGGAAACACTAGTCCCCCACCTCCATCTCTTTCCCTCAGGTGGCTGTTGTCAGTCTTCTAACACAGGCATCAGTCCCTCAGCCCCTGCCTACTGGTCTCCAACCCCAAAAGTTCCGTTGCCTCTGCCGTGGGGGGCACTGTGCCCCTCACCCAGGCCGAGGTTCAACACTCCTCAATGAGCAGCTGCTCTGAGCTGTACAGCTTTTTCTTGATGACTCTGAAGCCTGTGCTCAGCGTTAAGGACTGGCTAAAGCCAGGGACGAAGGGAGAGTTGGCGGAGCTGAAGAGCCCCTGGATCTTCGGCCAGAGGCGAGAGTCCAGGCGCAGCACGAGGGTCAGCTGGAAGGTGGGCACCAGACTGGGGTCGAGAGCCAGCTGGCCCACGCTGTGGCAGCTCTTGCCTTGCTCTACGCAGACGTCCAGCAGTGCCCCCCGCAGGCCGCAAGGCTCGCTGTAAGCCAGGCGCAGTAGTTCTTTGCCCACCTGGGTCACCAGCTGGCCGGGCATCAGCAGGCGAGCAGGGCGCCGAGAGCCCAGTCGCGCCTGGGACAGGCTCTCCTGCAGCAGCTGCATCAGGTTGGCACACAGGTGCTCATCCTCGGGGTCGCTGAGCAGCTCGAAGTCGGGAAGGGACACGCCATCCAGGTATGCCGAATCTGGAGGGGGAGCACACCAGGAAGGGTATTAGAGCAGCTTCCACAGAAGATACACAGGCGGGGGAGGAGCTTTTTTCTAAGAAAGCTGAGCTTCTGCCCAGTTCCCGCCCCGCATTCGTATACCCTCTACTCCAATACCCACGCCCCGGGCAATCTGGGTTCTGTTGGGATAGAAAACCAAAATGGTTCTGACCCCTTCCAGTGCGGTGCTTCCTCACCTCCCCGGACCCTCGTCTTGTTCAGCACCAGCCCACTGCTCACCTTCCTCCGGCCCGAAGCCACTGTTACTGCTGTCCAGGGACTCGCAGTCCGAGCTCTCCAGGCTCGCGCAGCGGTCTAGCCCCTCCTCTCGGGCCGCCGACCCCCAGGCTGAGCGCAGCGGCCGATCTGGGGTGGGAGTTCGAGACGCGGATGAAGAAGAGGAGGACGAGAAGCGGTCCCAAAGACTAGGCATGGTGAGGTCAGACGCCAGGACGTTTGCTGATGTGCTCAGTATCCCGGAGCTCAGAAGCCGCTGAAAGACAAGAGGGACACCGCGGAGCGTCAGTCTGGGGGCTGAACAAGACTGCGAGCTCTAGGACCAGTATCGCCGAGGCCGTCCCACGCAGAGAACGGTACACGCAGAAGGGCCACTCACCAGCTAGTGCGGTCAGCGAGAATTGCTGGGACAAGTGCGTCCTGCCGCTTGAATGGGTGCGCGAACTGGTGCCAACCACCGAGCGCTGCCCAGACCTGTCCCTTCAACCCACTCGCACCTCCCCCTTAGCCTGCTGAGATCCCTAGCACCAGCGCAGAGCAGCCTATAAGGTCTAGAGCGGCGAGGCCACGCCCCCTTCCCACCACGGCCCAATCCAGACCCGGGAGTGTGGCCCACCTCGGCCAATGGGCTTCCGGCGCACGTTCGCAACGTTCTCTCCTGCCCGGTGACAGCGGCTTGGCCCCGCCCCTCTTGAGCCCCGGAACGCTCCGGGCCGAACACCGAGCCGTGGCCACTCCCCTTTTCTGGAAGGGATCCGCGGCGGCTGCAGCTGCCAAGGTCCCTGAGGGCGCTCGCGGCAGGGGAGGATCAAGGAAAGACTTGTTTATTATAGGGTCGCGTTGCTGGGGGAGGGGGTAGCCTGTGACCCAGCTCGAGGGAGACTGGAGAACTTGGGGGGCGGCGGGCAGGAAAAACAGTTACCCCTAGCATCTGGGAGCCTGAGACTCAAAGGCACAACTGGGCTCACAGTGGATGCCTGTGGGACCGCGGCGCGGGGGGCAGACTTTAACCCGGCCACCTTTCGCGCACGTATTCCACGCCGTCCTTGCGTGGAGAGGATCGGGATGGGGGGTGGAATCCAAAGACTGAGCAACTCTGAGCTCGGTGCTTCCGCTCCCCGCGGTCCCACCTGCCTGTCGGCTGTTACCCTAGAGCCCCAGAGGATGGGTTCTTGAGATCCGTGCCCCCAAACGAGCCTAGTCCCCTGTCCTACCCTCTCCCATTGCGCTGCTGTTCCCAAGGAGAAGCCTTGGGTAGGTGGTCAGAGGAATTCGTTTCTGGGCTTGGGCTCCTGCCCCCTGGCCCAGCGGCCGAGAACAAGGACCCACAACAGACCGACACACTGACCCATCCGCGGGCCCTAGGGACCGACAGCAGCGCTGCCCGGCCTCCCCCGCCTGCAGCGGCGAGAGGGGGCATCCGCCAGGTCCTAAAGCCCTTTGTTCCCGCTTTGTCTAAAAGACTCAGAATTCATCAAACCGGGAACCGATATCTCAGACAAGCATTGCAGAGAGTGCAATGGTCATCCCCGGTTTCGTCATTCAGGCGGGGCCACAGGAAATTTGGCCTGGCAGCGATGCTCTAGGGCTGACAGTGGGTTGCTGGGGGTGGGAGGAGGTTTGGACGATCTCGACCTTTATTCGTTAAAGGTTTATCAATCCGGGACACGCGGACACTGATGGAAGAGAGAACCAAACTTACATCAGACACTCTGGACCGCCGGTAGGAGCCAAACCAGATCAGACAGATGAGCCTCGCTCCAGGGCAGGCTTGCGCGTGACATGTGACACATGCCAAAGAAGTCAGGCCACTGCCATCTCCAGCCCCACCACACCCCCACCCCAAATTTAATTTTTTTTTTTTAAAGTCCGACCTATGGGGGCTGGGATTGTGGCTCAGTGGTGGAGCGCTCGCCTAGCACGGGCGGGACCCGGGTTCGATCCTCAGCACCAAATAAAGATAAAGGCATTGTGTTGTGTCCATCTACACCTAAAAAATAATATTTTTAAGAAAACAGTCCGACCTACTGACCATGGGGCAAACTAAGACTTAGTACCGCAAAGGGCGGAATACAAGCCCTGCATTCCTACTCTCATTTTACAGGTGGAGAATCATTTTAGGGGGCAAATTTATGGGAAAAAAATTAGGGGCCCTAGATTAGGAGACATCTTAAAAACAGCTGCAGAATAGAAGAGTCTTTAGCCCTGAGGCTTCCAAGGCCCGAACACTGACCACCTCTTCCTATGCCTCTTTCTATCCTTTAGGCTCCACCACTTGCTGGGAGCCTTAAAGACATCAGATCAAGGTGATGAGATGAAGGACCAGGAGTTGGAGCAAATCACCCATGACTGAGGGGGAAAGAAGAGTTGGGGATGTCTTGTGTGAGTGAGTCTTCCTGTTGCTCAGGAGAGGAGATAAGGGAATTAATCTACCAGAGCAACATCCATTTCTCCCACCAGGCTAACTGAGCTGGGGACACCAGGCCAGCTGAGCATAGACTAAAGTGGTTTTCTTTTTCTTCCATTCCCCCCTCACCCCAGGGCTTGGATCCAGGCTTGATGCATGCACAGCATGTGCTGGACCCTGAGCTTCACCTCTAGCCCTTCTTTTCCTTTTTTCTCCTTTTTTTCTTTTTGACAGAAAAAAAGAAAAGAAATATATCAGAAAAATCTGGAACATTAATCAAGAAAAATAGAAAAAAATAAGCAGATAGTAATAAGCAAAGATATCCAAAGTCAGTTTGGGAAGGTCAGTTTATTAGGAATCACTCATTTATCCAACAAACACCATCATGGACTATATGCCTAGAGGTGTGCCTGGCATCTTTTTTTTTTCATTCACTGTCTCTTTAATAACTGTTAATAAAACGAGTTTCTCGAAAATGGAAAGTGTGATGTTAATAGGCACTGGGTAATTTTCTTTTCAAAAGAAATCTGTAGGGCTGGGGCTGGGGCTCAGTGGGAGAGTGCTTGCCTAGCATGCATGAGGCACTGGTGTTGGATCCTCATCACCACATAAAAATAAACAAATAAAATGAAGGCATTCTGTCCATCTACAACTACAAAAAAAATTATTAAAAAAATCCCCAGAAATCCGGGCTGGGGTTGTGGTTCAGTGATAGAGTGCTCCCTAGCAAGCATGGGGCACTGGGTTTGATCCTCAGCACTACATAAAAATAAAATAAAGATATTGTGTCCACCTAAAACTAAAAAATAAATTAAAAAAATAAATCCATAAATGTTGCTCCCCTCTCCCTACCCCACCGCCTTTCTCCAATCCTGAAGACTGATGTGTTTACCATGAACCACATCTCCAGCCCTTTTTAAAATTTTGAGACAGGGTCTTGTTAAGTTGCCCAGGATGACATCTTATTTGTGATCCTTCTGCCTCAGCCTCCCTCAGAGTTGTGTACCACCCCCTCTGGCTGGTTTCTCTTGCTTTTTAAGTGGGTGTGGGTGGGTGTGGGAGGACCAGGGTCCTAGCCCTGGAGGTGTTTCCCAGACTAGGAGGGAGTCTGTCCCAGGATAACAAAATCCTGCTAGAAGAACTGACAGAGGCTTAGGATGGGGGCTCACTTGTCTTCCCCTGTGTGACCCACACACTGAGATGGAGGGGGACAAGGCCCTATATCTGGTCTGCCAGGAGAACCTTTGAACCTAGAAGAGGGATTCCTTAACCTGTCTAAGGAGATGGAGAGAAGGGTCTCTAGAGCTGGAAAGCCTTTATCATTGCATCACTCACTCACCCTTTCCTGCCCTAAACACTGCCCCTCCTCCCCCACCCCCGGGGAGCCTTTCTGGAAAGGGCAGCTCAGCTTCTAGCCTCTGAACCAAGCCTCTGCAGAGCCCTCAGAGAACCTGTGCACTTACATTTGGTGTTTTCCCCCACGCTCCTACTGCCCTCAGCCAAAGCTGGCTGCAGGTCAGGCTTGCCTGGACCTGCTTGCGACCTGCTTCCACCAGCGCCCCTACCCCAACCCTTCACCCTTAGGTGTCCTCATCAAGTCACTCTCACACCCTGTGTATATCTCTTATTAATGCTTGTTTCCACTTGGAATGCTCGAGGATAGTGTTCTGCTCGTCTTGCAGTAGCCAGCACTGTACCAGGTGCCTAGTAGAGGCTGGGTCAGTGTCCCTTGGATGAATAATGAATGAACGGATAAATGGATAGCCAGGTGAATCGCGAAGGTGGCTTCTTCCAGAATTGCACAGATCTACACCTGGATAGCCAGGATCTAGCTGGGCCAATGGGATGGCCCTTCATAGGACCTTGATGCTACCTTCCAATCCCCTTTCTGACAAGCACTGCCAAGGGCCTTGGACATGTTTGAACATTTCATTTTTCAGGTGAAAATGAAAGCAAGGCTTCTAAGCAACTTGGTTTTTTCCAGCTGGAACATAGGTAGCAACCCAGGAAGCTAGGGAGAGATGACACAGTACAAAGGACTTTCCCTTTAAGAATTAAAATGGTACTGGGGGTGGGGGCTGTGCTGGGGATTGAACCCAGAGCTCACACCTGCTAGACAAGTGCTCTATACCCCCAGCCAAAATATTTTTAATTGAGGTGAAGATCATATAGGAAATTAACCAGTTCAAAGTAAACAATTAGGGCTGGGGATGTGGCTCAAGCGGTAGCGCGCTCGCCTGGCATGCTTGCGGGGGCCCCGGGTTCGATCCTCAGCACCACATACAAACAAAGATGTTGTGTCCGCCGAAAACTAAGAAATAAATATTAAAAAATTCTCTCTCTCTCTTTAAAAAAAAAGTAAACAATTAGTACATTCAAAATGTTGTGCAACTGTCACCTCTGTATAGTTTCAAAACATCATTATCCTCGCAAAGGGGACAGTGTACCCATCAAACAGTCACTCCCCTCAAAACATCTTTGACGTTTATGTTCCTTGTTGGTGGGGTTGGGGGCTGCTTCTGAGTGGCTTACTCTGGAGAGTAGTGTTCCGGGGATCACTTACCACTCACTGCCCAATTCGCAACATGGACTCTACCTTGAGGTGACCCTGGTAGGAGACTAACCAGCCACCTTGCAGGAGTGGGCTGTCATTGTGGCCTAGGCAACCCAGACCTCTGGAGCTGGTGACCAAGCCCCACGTTCCAGCCTCTGTGTCCTGGGCCCTGACCATGCAGAAACCCTCTTTCTGGGCTGTGCTCTATTCCCGTGGGACCCACTGCAGCCTGCAATTTAGAGTCAATGAGCACTCCCTCCCGGCCACCTGCCCCTCCCTGTGCAGGTGGTTCCTGTCCCATGCACCCGTTCCCAGGGCCTCAGTCTGGCACATTGCCCCAGTCGGGTTTGGGAAGTTAAACCAGATCTTGGAGTGGGGGTGTGATTCTGGGAACCCGAGAATTCAAGATGGGAACCCCCGAAGGCCAGCTAGCTCGCCTGCATGGCTTGTAGTGTCTTCTCAGCTCTTTGGAAACTTCTGACTGGGGTAGTGAAGGTGGAGTGGGGAGCCCGCGGGTCAGGGCTGCGGGGAGAGGCTGGAGTGTTGGTAGGAGGTGGAGACAAGAAGCCAGCAAA